TGGTCTTGAACTCCCGACCTCAGGTGATGCTCCCATCTCGGCCTCCCAAAGTGCTGGGATTACAGGTGTAAGCCACTGCGCCTGACCCTATTTGTTCCTTTTTTAAAAGGATGAAATGAAGGTATATAAAGTTCTTAGCACAATACATGGCACATACTAAATAATAAATGTCACTTATTTTATTATTTTTTAAAATGCTGTATTATTTTAAAATTTATTATATTTTGAAATGCTTAAGCATAACAAGTGATACAATTACACTTGGCGCTCAAAATAAAACTGAGATGGCAGCATGGTATAATGATTAAAAGAGAGGATTCTGGAGCCAGATTGCCTGCATTTGAATCTCAGCTCTGACCTTAACTAGTTGTTTGTGACTTTTGACAATTTCTAAAACTTCTCTGCACTCAGTTTCTCCATCTATAAAACAGAGATAGTCATTGCTCCTATTTCATAGAGGTGAATGAGTTATGATATGTAAATATTTACAACTGTATGTGCCACACAGAAAGCATTCTAGAAGTGTAAGCCACTAGTTTTTATTCCTTTCAATCCTGACTATCCACAAGAGGGTCAACGTTTTGTTCCGCATTGTACACTTTTGTCCTCTTTATCCAAGGTTCTTATTTTACTTCAGTATTTTATCAAGTTCTACATCTATTCTGTATTTGAAAAACACTAAGATTTTGTTTAATAAATTTTCAGAGTATTAGTAATAATTTTTATAATCTACAAAGGCACTAAATTTCAGTGAGAAAAAAGGCAAATAACAACACTAGATGTTCTTACAAGGACTGTATTACGACATTTAATGCAGCAGTGCCTGAAATCCCAAATGCAAACGTTATTATGAACTGCCTAACGCAGATCTAGTCTTTCCTTGGCACGCAAGTCAGCACCAATAAAGCGGAAATGAAGACAAGTGTACAGCACTTAGAAGAAAATTAATCTCACTTTTCTTCCTCAGGAACATTCAGTGATGGATCCTTTCTTTTGTATCTTCCTGAGCTGTGGGTTCTAGCGAAATGCTTAACCATAGCAAGTGACACAATTACACTTGGCACTCAAAACAAAACAAGTCCCATATGATGATTTACAACACATGAAATTTAGAATTTATAAGAGCATGTGAGGCCAGTGCCAACATAAGAGAATGGTCACTGCTGGGCATTTCCAGGCTCCTCTTGGCTTCAGCATTGGGCAATGCTGCTTGCAGGAAGCCACAGAATTTAAAGACTGTGGGTTTCTTCTCAGACTCGAGATAGTCTGTGCACTCCTTCTGGAGGCTGGTGTGGACAGAACTGAACCCTCTACAAACGCTATTTTTAATATATTAGATTTGAATGCTTTATTAACAGGAAGCACACTGGTTTTATCCAATGAAATTTCTTTCTTTCTTTCTTTCTTTCTTTCTTTCTTTCTTTCTTTCTTTCTTTTTCTTTTCTTTCTTTCTTTCTTCCCCTCCCCGCCTCTCTCTCTCTCTCTCTCTCTCTCTCTCTCTCTCTCTCTCTCTCTATTTTTTAGATGGAGTCTTGCTCTTTCCCCCAGGCTGTACTGCAGTGGCATGATCTCGGCTCATGGCATCCTCTGTCATCCAAGTTTAAAGGATTCCCCTGCTTCAGCCTCCTGAGTAGCTGGGACTACAGTGCACTCCACCAGACCCAGCTAATATTTTTTGTATTTTAGTAGAAACGGGGTTTTACCATGTTGCCAGGATGGTCTCAACCTCCTGACCTCGTGATCCGCGCCTTGGCCTCCCAAAGTGCTGGGATTATAGGCATGAGCCATCACACCCAGCTGATTATCCCACGAATATTTTTAAGGGATAGATTATATCATTCTGAGTAGTAAGGTGAAAAACATAAGCACACACTGAATGTACTAATGGCCATATTTCAACACAGTCTTACTTTTGCAATCTGACCTATTTAAAAAATAATAATAATAGGTAGGTATGCAAGGGAAAAAATTTCTTTTCCACCTTCAACATTGCAAAACATCACACTGTTAATGTTTACATATTAAACACTAATCAGAAACAGAACATTTTCCCAATGCTGCTACCAAAGTAATGATTTTTTAAAAATTAATTCCCTTTTGCTTTAAAGGACATTCTTGGGATGCATGGACCAAAATAACAATAGACCGAATCAAGAGTACAGTCTTTGGAGCAGTTTGCAATCCCAGCTCTGCCACTGCTGGTTGTATGTTCTTGAACAAATTACATGGCCTTGTACAGCTACATCTCCAAGATCCCTTTTCCTCCTCTGTTTAAGACTTCATGAGTTTGATAGGGTTTTTGTGAGAATTTAATCATAAAATCCACTGACTGTACAACTAGTGTCTGGAACACAATAAGTAAACAATAAATAATGAAATTAAATGACATATTAATCCTAGGTATGTCCTTATTAATCTGCTCCTTTGAATAATAATTTCTGCCAACCTCCTTAGCATAACTCTTCCACACAATACACGGAATGCTTCAAAAAGGAAAACAGAACTCTAAGAATAGGAATTTCCAATCCATGTACTTGCCTGATGATTATAGAACCTTTTATACTTTATTTAACTTGAGGGGGCTCTTCTTGATCAGATTTCATCCCACATTTTGTACCACTGAATGTGTTTTGTGTTCTCAGCCACAGGATGGAAGGCACATGAGGGGAAACATTGGCCCCAAGAAAGCTCCCAGCCAGCCACTGGCACCTCCATACCCAACTCAAACTGGTCTCTGCCTCCAGTTTTCCAACTTCAACTTTCCTTCCTACCTTTCTTTCTTAGGCTCTCAAAGATAGTGATGATGGAGATGATGACAGCAATGAAGCTGCTGGTAATGTTACTGATGGTAACTAAGAATTATTTACCATTTATTCTGAGCCAGAGCAGACACTACAAGCAACAGGCAATCAACATGAAAATCATTAACAAGACATTTTGCATTATTTTTTCTGTTCTGTCTCCAAAGTCCTATGTGTATTTCACACATCCAGCACTTGGCAATTCAGACTTTGTACTTATTATTCATTTCATCCTCCAAACAGTCGTAAGAATTAGGTACTATGATTATTTCTACTTGACATATAAAGAAACCAAAGCTTAGAGAAGTTAAATAACATGTCCAATGTTGCACAGTGAGTTTGTAGCAGAGAGCCAATTTGCAAGCAGATCAGACACTAACCAGGGCCTTTATTCACACCCCCAGGTGACACCAACTCCGCAGTTGTTTGCAAGACTGTCTGTAGGGTTAGTCCAGGTCCTGGCCGCTCACCCCAGATCAACCCTGCCCCCCCATAGTTTCTAACATCTTTCTGCCCAAGTCACAATTCCTAACCTAAAATTCACAAAGACAGAAGAGCATCAGCTATGACAAATAATACTCCCACCAGTAACTTCAGTTTGATTCCCTATACTCCCCGAATGAATCGCCCCACCTGGCATGCAACAGCTATAAACCCTAAAGTAGAAAAAAATTCCCATAAGGAGATCACTGATATACTTCATGCCTTGTTTTTGGTTTTTTGGGTCTTTTTTTTTTAGACAGGGTCTCACTCTCTCACCCAGGCTGGAGTGCAGTGGCATGACCACAACTGTGATCCTCCTGGGCTTGTGATCCTCTTGCCTCTGCCTCTCAAATAGCTGGGGCTACAGGTGCATGCAACCACACCTGGCTAATGTTTTAAAATTATTTTTTGTAGTTACAGGGGTCCCACTATGTTGTCCAGGCTGGTCTCAAACTCTGGGCTCAGGCAATTCTCCCACCTGCGCCTCCCAAAGTGCTGGGATTAGAAGTGTGAGCCACAGCACCCAGCTTCTTTATGCCTTTTTGACTAATACCTTTTGGCCTTCAATATTAATATGCAATATACATTAATAATTAAACTCATTTACAGATGAAGAAATAATAAGGTAAGAGAAACAGTTTGCTCACAGCTACATATCAGGTGGAAATAAAATCGTCCATAAAGCTCAGTATGCCCTCTGGAAGACCTTACCACCTTGTTTTTCTGGGCTTTTAATTCCTTGTTCAAATCTCTTCACCCAGTAGCAGTGCAAAGATGAACCTATGGTGAAATTCACCTTTCACAGGTTCGGCTAAAAGATTAACAAATCGTACGGCCCCTGTGGGCAATGGAATAAGCTGACACTTAAGGATGAATTTCCTATTATCTTTTAACTAGACAGTCTAGCTTTCTCAGGGCAAGACAAAAATGTCCAAAATACTTGTCAGCAGTTTTCAGTGGAGGAAAAACTGCAGTTAAAGCACCTTTACTGAAAACTTTGAGCAGTAAATTTGCTTACATTTAGTTTGTGCAATTTCGATGAGGAATTGGATGGCGAGTTGGGATCCCCCCATCCTTAGTTTTTTGTCGTAGTTCTATAAATCTCGAAGTGTCAGCCACAGGCCATGCCTTTTGGTTTATTTAAGTGGAGAATTTTAAAAATCACTTTTTCCACTTCATAGCTCCTTTGGACCAGGGTATAAAAATAGCGATGCCAACCAGGAGCCAAACTCCTTCTGGAATAATGAACCAGGAGAGGCAGAGCCTTGCTTAGGGCAACAGAAGTTTTGCAGCCTGCCTCAAACGCAACTCTCATTTCAGCCACTTCGCTTCTTTCCCTCCGCTCAGAATAGTCTCAAAGGAAGGAGCTGTTTATGAGAAACTCCGCGGTGTGCCCAACACGGTTACTCTGGCGTCTATCACCCTCCTGGGGCTTGGCCACCTGTAAGAATCTGGAGAGCGGAGCGGGGGAGGTTGTTCGGGGAAGCGATTCCCTACGGCTGAGAACAACCGGGAGCACCAGGATTCTCTGGGAGGACCGGGCTGTCCAGTGGCACCACCGCCGCAGCCCCGGGAACTGGGCGCCCCAGGTCTCAGGCGCGCCCCGCCGCGGACGCGCACGGACTCGTCAGGCCTCGGCCCCTGCAGCGATGCTCCGCGCCACGCCGGTGCTGGGCTGTTCCGCCGCGACCTGCGGCGCCGCGGGGCGAGTCTTACCTGTTGATCTTGAGCGCGAACGCGCGGCGCTCTGCGCTCGGCAGAGTGGCCATGACCCGCCGGCGGCGTGGTGGCTTCTAGGGTCGCGGAGTGCGGAGAGCGGGGCCCCGGCGCGCAGCAGAGTCGCTGCGGAGCTTGCGGAGCCAGGCGCAAGCCTCATCTGTCAGTCGGAACTGGAAACTTCCGCATTTCCACCTTCTGCGCTGAAATCACCCCGGGGGAGGGCCCAAGCTCCGAGCCGCTGCGGCCAGCCCCGCCAACCCGCGCCCGGCCTGGCACGCAGGCAGCGGCGGGAGAGGAGGGCGTGGACCCAGCACGGAAATGGCCTGGGGATATTCGGGCAGACGGCGCGCTCTGCCCGGGGCCGCTGACCTCCGGCAGAAAGGAGCGAGGACCGGAAACTCCAACTGCCCGAAGCTGCGAAGCTGCCAGGAAATGTGGGCAAGTGGGGGGAGCCCCACAAATTTGGCGAGGTTGGGAATCAACCCTGGGATTCTTTAGGCTAGGTGTTATTAAGGGTTGACACCATTCTTGAAAGAAGGCAGACCAAAAAAAAAAAAAAGTTAGTGGAATCTATCAGGATTCTTTTGCAAGCGTTATGCCCATCGTCCTTCCTGGGACACCTTAAATAAATATAATAGATTCATCCAAGGAATAAACATTATGAGTTCTCAAAAAAATTTTTTCGTTGCAACCTGACGTGTGCTTTTCTCTGGACAAACATTGAATGCTGCATTCTTGCTTTTCAAGGGTACACTGCGTCCAGGTTTATTTCAGTTTTAGACTGATGTCTGCTAAGAAGCCCAGCCTCAAACTCAAGAAACAGAAAAGTCCCAGTACTGACTGGAGTGGAAAAGCCTGTGTTCATTTCAAGGTGCTGGCATGCTGCTCTAAGCTGCGCTATATGAGGGCACTCTTCATATAATGCCTCCATTTACCAACCTGCTCTTTAAAAATACCAAAGCGGGCCGAGCACGGTGGCTCACGCATGTAATTCCCAGCACTTTGGAAGCCCGAGGCGGGCGGATCACCTGAAGCCAGGAGTTCAAGATCAGCCTGGCCAACATGGTGAAAACCCATCTCTGCTAAAAATACCAAAATTAGCCGGGCGTGGTGGTGGGCACCTGTAATCCCAGCTACTCTGGAGGCTGAGACAGGAGAATCACTTGAACTTGGGAAGCGAAGGTTGCGGTGAGCCAAAATCTTGCCATTGCACTCCAGCCTGGGGAACAAGAATGAAACACCGTCTTTAAAAAAAGAAAAAGAAAAACACCAAAGCAAAGGTTCTTTTGGTTCAAAGCTGCACTATTTAATATGATAGCCACTAGCCACATTTGGCTATTGACCACTGGCAAGATGTGGTCTGAATTGTCAAGTGCTGGTTGTGTAAAATACAGGCTGGAATTTAAAGAAGCACAGAAAAAATAATGCAAAATGTCTTGTTAATGATTTTTATGTTGATTGCATGTTAAATATTTTGGATATAAAAAAATATTATTAAAATTAATTTCACCTGTTTGTTTTTCCCTTTTAAAGATGTTGCTTGTATTTAAAAAAATGTAAAACTGCATATGTGGCTCACATTTGTAGGCCTCATTATATTCCTATTGGACAGTGCCAGTCCAATATAACCTGATTTGCAACCTAATATTAAAATGCCTAAGGACTATATTCAGTCTCTTCCTGATATAGCCTTCCTTTCTGGTAGGCAGTTTAGTAACTTTTCAGAACTGGTTAGGTAACTCCTCCCCCACACCCACTCCTCACCAAATATCAGTGCCCTTTTAAGCATGTAAGACAAAGTTCCTTACATGGACTGCATATGAAAACAAACCTAAAGAAAAATAAAGCTCTTTTGAAATTTAGAGTTTCTGACTTTCAAAATTCTCCTTATTTACTACATTGGAATTTATGAGCAAACATTTGGATAGAAAAATACAAAGAGAACAAATGTGTAAGTACTTCTTCAAACTGAGACCCAACGAATGATACATAGAAAGCATTTTGCCCCAGAGGCTTCAGTCCATGCTGTACTACGCCAGCCTTTCACAGGAGCTTCTCTGAGTTTCTGAATGTTTATGACAACACTTTCATATAGAACAAAAAGATACTGTTTTCACACAAACATAAAATTTAATGAGAGCATCTCAAATTTTCAGCATTTGCAATCAAGGAAAAGTTTTTGGGTGAATGTGGGAATCATAAAATCTTCCATTTTACCTCAGATCATGCTGCATTCAATTTAGTATTTGGTACCTAACCATGAAGGTTAGGCCAGCATTGTTATCCTCTGTGCTGTCAATTCCTGATGGTTAGAATTGTCTCCAGATTTCCTTAACAGTGTTTTAACAATTCACCATGAATGTGTTATTCATTAATTTAGTCAAATGCCTATTTTCAAGCTTGATCTGTTCTTGGATATATTCACATATTGCTGGCAAATAGCTATCCAAGAACCTTTCTTCCTCATTTTCACTGCCTCTTTGATTCTCCAGGGGCTCTTTGTCCAGAGTGAACTCTGGGAGGACTCCTTTCCACATCTGATGGTCTTTCTTGGCCTTCTTCTTTCTCTGTACTTTGGTGTCATTCAATTTTATTTTTCAACTTATACAATTCTTCACTTGACTTCTATCTCAGACCATATATCAATTTTCCTAAATTCTCCTCTAGTTTTCCCCACTTCTTCTTCTTACCTCCCCAGAAAGCCAACCTCTTTCATTACATCACATCTTCCCTATTTTATTTAACAAAAAAACTAAATAATACTTATCTTGTACCAGGTACTGCTCCAAGTCCTTTATAAATATTAATCAATTAATGGTAACCATTAAGTAATAACGTTAACCCCCCCTTTGCAACTGGGGAAACTGAGGCTTAAAGAAGTTAAGTGACTTGGGCAAGATCACAAACTAGTAAGGGAAGAGCCTTTTCCTATCCTAAAGTTTTGCCTGTCTCCCAGATTTCTGTACTCTAGTATCTTCAAACTCAAATATAAAACTAAAATTTCTCCATCTACCCTACTTAACTAGAAGTTAGCTATCCTTCCATAATAACCCATTTTTGGGGGGGAGCAAACTGCTTCCTTATTTCCCAGGTTTAAAACTTTGGAGTCATCTAGTGGTGGGAAAAGCAGGGAATCTGGGTTCTGGCTTCAGCTTTTTGCTAACTGTATGATCCTGAGTGAGTCACACTCTGGTTGGGTCACAGAGGCCTATGTCTTGGAATGACTCCATCTGCATACGTCAGCTCTAACTTTTTTCCTCCCGTGTCCTTCAAATCTAATCACTTACCAAGGTCTGCCATTTATCACTTATAAATATCACTTCTTTGTAAATATCACTGTTCTCACTGCTTCCATTCTGGTCCAGCCCTTATAAATTAATATCTAGATAACAAAAATAAGACTTTAAATGGCTTCACTGCTTGTAGTCTTTTCTTTCTCCTATCTAATCTGATTATACCACTAGATGAAGTTTACTAAAATTCCTGTTTCGTCATATTTCTTCTCTGCTCATTTAGCTTTTGTGACTTCCTGTAGCCTCTATGACCAAGCGTGACCTTTTCTCACTAGCTTATATGGCCACTTCACAAAACCAGCTTTATTCCTTACCTTTCTGTTGGAACAGGGAAGATCTCCAGCTTGTCCCTAGAACAGAAAGGACTCCTCTCTGCCCAGGGCCTCCCCCTGCTTATGTGATCCTTCCTGCCGTCCTCCCCCTACATCGCATCCAGTGTCTCCCCATTCTTTAAGGTTTGAATCAAGTTGCCATGTTTCATCTTTACCTAATGGAGTATTTCTTTCAGTTTGAAAGCACCATTTAATTAGTTAAAAGTGTGGGTCATTACCAATAAACACAGCCCAGTGGAATGCAAGATCCTGAGGACAGGACTACAGAAAAAAAAAAAAAAGTGTGATCATTTTCATGTTCCCTTCCTTCTTCCCAAAAACCACCCAGGACCTCCCCAGATTTAGCTCAAATGTGACCTTCCAAGACCATCTAGTTAACATGACAATGCGCCTTCCCTTATCCTGACACTTTCTAACTCCTTTTCCAACTTTGTTTTTCTCCATAGCTGTTACCACTATCTGACATACTATACATTTTATTTGTTTGTTTATTATCTCTTATGCTTCTAGAGTATCAATTCCATCAATGCAGAGGTTTTTGTTTGGTTCATCTGTGCCCTATCTCTAGAGTCTAGAAGCCTGGCACATAGTAGGTGCTCAAAAAGTATTTATTGAATAAATGAATGAACAAATGCTTCTTCAAGTGAACTTGAATGGGAATGGCCAAGTTTCACTTGTCTTTCGGGAGAAAGTGACAGTTTTTACCTTTTTATTCTCTTATATTTGTTGTGCCTTTTAATGAATATCTTTCAACTGTCTTTCGTATTTATTTCTTGGTTAGAAAAATCAAACCAGCACATACATTATTACTAGCAAGTAGATATCTTTATTGTTGTCTTGTAGTTGGTGAAACATATAGAAAGATTTGTGTGCAGGTATTTAAAACCAGTCATACTTTAAACATTAGAACTTGGAGCTCCTCATTTTCTTCACTTCATTCCTTATTTTGTCACAAAAAAATCTTTCAATATGAAAAAAACAAAGATTAGCAAACTTTCCTTTAAAAATTATCATTGTATTTTAGATATACATACATGTATATTTTTAATATTTTATATGTGTACTTAGTTTTATATTTATATTTTTGTTTATATATATTTTTATATTTTGTTTCATATTTCTATATTTTACATGTATACTTAATTAGTGTTTTAAATATTGCATTTAGAATATATTCTAATGTACAATGTTATTGCCTATGCAATAGGAATATTTGTAGCATAGCATTTTGTAACTAAAAGGATTTTGGATTAATTCATTAATGAGTGAGGAAGTTCACTCTGTCATCCATGTGTCTTCTCTTCACTCCTCTAGACCTTTACCAAGTGGTTACCATATGTCATGCACTGGGCTAGGTGATAATAGGGGCAAAACAAAGAATACTTGTTCTCTGACTTCCCAGAACTCATGGTCCAGGAATGAGACACACATAAAAAAGGAAAGAAGAGGCCCAGGCTCTGTGTGACAGCACAGGAACGTTTTGCCATATATCATTCTGGGCAAGTGAGGAAGCACAGAGAGGAAATGACTTGTTCTTGGGAGAGGGTGGCGGTAGAGTGATTGACGCTGAGGAAGAATGACTATACCAAACTGGGTTTTAAACAAGTTCATGAGGCAGAAGGAGCACTTGTGCAAAGGCAGGGAGACAGGGGACACCACTACTCATCCTGAGAATTAGAAGAATGTGGGGAGCCCAGAGGTGCAGAGTGAAGTGAATAGCAAAAATAAAGCCTTGGAGGTAGGCAGGGCCTGAGTGTGAGGGTCCGTTAAAGAATTCAAGCTTGATCTCTCAGGCTTTTGAAACCCACACATGGTGATTGCTGTTTCTGTATCTAGGTCACAGTCTCTTGGAGGAAACCTTGCCACCCGGCTGTCCACAGTGAGGATGCTGCTAATCCCAGTAGGGTATGG